AAATGATGATGATGGTTTCCGCATGCTTGCCTGGGAAAGATAATCTCGCTATACGACAAACAATCGCTAGATGGTCTTCTTTGCAAGTGGGAACGTCAAGCACATATCTTTTCGTTGGCAAAACTACTAAAACTAAGTTTTAGGCAGCCATTTTTTGGTCACGAATCTCACTGCGAACAAGGAAGAGATTCCCCCAAGAGAGTCATTACGTGGAGGCTAAGCTGATGACTGAGAAAGAATACGACTTGTATGCGAGCGTAGACGGCACATATGATAAATGGTAAGACCGTAATTTAATCAGACACGCGTTTGTTAATGAATCTAGCCCAAATTTGAGTACTATTACCTTTACAAAAACAAATACTTCTTCTTGCAGGTTTGTTCCTACTATGTGGATTATTAATCTTATCAAGAAGCAATATGCGCTTAGAAAAATTGATAGCATTCAAATGGATATGCTCTTGAAACAGGCTAGGCTTATCTATCGGCTATGCTCACAACGGAATGATCAGAACTTCATCCAGCCATCCCAAGCAAGAATGTGTATTACCGAACTCGCCTTAGAACGCTGATCGCAAATCTATGTTTTTTATCTGTTAAGCGACGATTTGGGAAAAGCTATGAGCGTTCAAAGTGTATACTTGTCATCAAAAACACTTACTTAATATGAAGTCTTAGTAGGTAGTAAGCCGACCGTCGTTAGTAGATCTTTATTACCGACGACCTAACATTTCGAACACGACTTGTTCGGAACGTTAGGCCGCCACTAGTAAAGATCTACTAACCTCCGTCAGCTTACTCGCTTACTAACACAACACACTAACAATGCCAAGCCAAGAAGGAGGAAAATCGGAAAATACACTTACTTAGGCTAGCAAATATGTTTCTACCTCGTGACTGGGATACTCGTAATCACTGTGAATACCTCAGTGTGCCTTTCAGCGATTATATCCGTTCAAACCCGAGTTTTCGTATTCATATGGTCTTTTTAGATAGTCGCTTGGCTGGTAATAATCGTATATATGAGATTAGCGTTTCATGACGATGCAATGAGTTCTGAGCATTCCCTGTTCAGTCAAGCCACTAAGCTAATTACCAATTAGTGATCTATTAGGTGTACAGCTATCGAGATGGATTCTTCATGCTCTTCATTTATGACTGGGTGAAAATTCCTTTGGTATACGCTCAAGTTGGTTTTTTTCAATGCGCTCCTTTTGAGCATTTCATCAAGTGCACCTTGTTTAGGTAGTAGCCATTGCAACTTATGGTTATTTCGTAATTTGCTTGATTGGTCGGCAACCGAAGCTTGATCAGAATTCCATGGAAACAGTAAGAACACGTTGAATTTTACGCACAGAGAGAGAAAAAACAATTTACAGGAAATTGCCATACTTTTCCCCATTTTTACAACCTTTCAAATGTTGTTTTACCTTGGATGGTTGAAGGTCGGGCAAGTCTTGATGAATCCGTTTGGAGAAGATGATGATGACTTTGGTTTGCACTTTCTTTGAACTCTTTAGACAGATTCTAGTGTTTAGTTTCAACCATACCCTCGATAACATA